CTTCCACGCCGGCCAAGAAATGGGAGTGCCCACGACGCCTCGATTACTCGTGGGCGGCGAAGTTGTGCGGCGAGCACCTGCGACAGGATGCTGGTGCACTGCTGCAGCAGCGACACGGGCGGGTTGCCCAGCGACGTGGCAAGCTGCACCCGCAGCAGCTGCTCCTTCTGGGCGGCGTTGCCGATGAGGGCGTGCGCCAGCGCCACCGCGGCGCACCAGTTGGAGAGAGCGTCGCCCGAGAACAGGCCCCCGCACAGCAGCTGTCCCGCCGAGATGGCGCTGGCTGTGCCGGCAACGCACGCACAAACACGCGCCAGCACAAACACCGCGCAAGCATGCACCCACGCACCCTGGTCATCATCATCGCAGCCGCCATCATCGTAAGCACCGCCACCACCACAACCGCAATCACACACATCATATACTACACCAACATCACTACCACCACCAAGACCACGCTATCACACAAATACTTTCACTGTGATAATTATCACAGAGGTGATTATAATCACTATCGCTTTCATGACCAATATTATTCATAATATAGGTTTTTGGGTCAGATCGCGTTATTTATAAATGTGTCGTAACCCTCCACCACCCGACACGGCCAAACAGTAAAAATGTGTCACGTTTTTCAATAGACAAAATCATTCACTTCTTTAGCACACCGGTGTGCTGAAGAGAGATCTACAGCATTTAAAATTTTGAGTACGACGTGACACATTTTTTACTGTTTGGCAGTGTCGGGTGGTGGAGGGTTACGACACATTTATAAATAACGAGATCTGACCAAAAAACCTATATTATGAATCACTCTCGCTATCATCACCATCATCATCATTGACACACCAAGACAACTGTTCAATCACACCACTACCAACGTGATCACTCCCACCACCAAACCACGAAATCTTTTCATCATCATAATCTTCATCACCTCGTATCGTGTATAAACATCAGCGCTTGTGGGACAAAGGTGGCTGGCCGTGACGCTGTCCACACCGCCCCTTCGTTGCGCAATGTCCGCCTTAACAGGTGCTCGCTAACAGCGCATGCCTCAACAGCCGGTGTGGGGGCAGGGTTGGTGATGAGGGTGGTTTTGGTGAAACCGGCGAGGGTGAGCGGTTAGGAGGATTGCGTGGGGGTGGCATGGACTGTGCGCATCGTGTTTGGGTGGGCGTGGGCGGCACCGTCGATGGTGGAGGGGAGCAGCGTGGCAACGATCTGGCCCTGCCCCCCCGGGTTGCGGTAGAGGAAGCTCTGGAAGCAGTAGAGCACGGCGCAGCGCAGTACAAACGGCTGACGCTCATTCACCATCGACATGAGCAGCACCACCAGCGCCGGCCTGCACGCCACACACACACGCACCGGCTCGGTCAATCACGGCGCACGTCCACAACAATCACAACCAGCAACCGCACGCCGCCAGAACCGACTGCGATGGTACAAACCACAACAACCCATGACACACACGCCACAACCACAACAACCAATCGCACGCACGCATGCACGGACCACCACGGTCAACAACGGCGCACGTCCACAACAATCACAACCAGCAACCGTACGCCACCAGAACCTACTGCGAACGTACAAAACCACAAGAACCAATCGTGCACACGCCACAATCAACCACAAATGATGCACAAGCGCAACAACAAAGCACCATCGTTAACAACCGCAGACCCCCCCCCCTCCCCCGAACATATAAAATACCCCACACACACACCAAGGGGGCGGGGGGGGGGCAGGGTGGGGAGAGGGAACCAAGGTGGGGGTGGGCGGCACGCACCTCGGCGGCGTGGAGGGAGCGCTGACCGCCGCAAAGTACTCCTGGTTCGTCTGGCACCCTCGGATCACCTCCGACACCGTGTTGATCGTCTGAGACAACAGCGCGCAACACGGACACACGCTCAGCCAGCGCACGCGTCCTCCGCAGCGGTCCGCGTGGAACGGCGGGTGACGGCACGAGACACGGGCGCCGGGGACGCGGTGCGATGGGGAGGCTTGCCTCGGTGAGTATGTCCGCCGGGACGCCGGTGGCCATGAGGATGGCGCACAGCTGCTGGAGGAGGCCGCACTGGAACATGGCCTTCTGGCACGCCGCCACGGCGCCCGCCGGATTCGCCGGAGACACCAGCGTCCGCACAAGCTGCGGTCGTGGGGTGGGAGGGTGCGGGGGGATGGTGGGCAGTGGCGGCACATGGAGACACACGCAGTGTTACCTGTGCACGCACGGTTAGACAAAGATCCCCGATAGCCTGAACAGACTGTTGGGGTAGGTGCTGTTAGCGAGCATCTATTCTATTCAATTTTGGATTTATAAAGCGCCTTTCACCAGGCGCTTGACAATGCTTGCCGACTACAGTACAAAATGGCTAGACAAGGGATGGGGATCGGGTAGTGACGAGGGTGGAGTCTGCGGCGTGGAGGGGCGTTAGGCGGTGCTGGTAGGGGTGGCGGAAAAGAAGGGAGAAGGCGGAGTAGAGAAAAGAGATAGGACCTGAGGGTGGTGGGAAAGAGGAGAGCGAGGGGAGAGTCGGATGTGGAGAGAGTTTGTTCCAGAGTAAAGGGGGCAGGCAGAGGTAAGGGGCGAGAGTGAGATTGGGCGCAGGGAGGAGGCACAGCCAGAAAATGAAGGCCGGCGTGGTACACAAACACACGTATAAACCCACTCACAACATTCGTCGCAAAACATGCCTTATTACCACTATTATTATTATGCTCGATCACCCCGAAAGCCTCAATAGGCGTCAAGACCCTTTTGGCAGCAGGGTGCTGCCAAGTATTTCGCAGTAGGGGGCGCTGTAATTTGATGAAAACTCACACTAGAGATAAAGGACTCAATTTGAAATACTCGGGGAAAAATCGCTCCCCCTCCTGGCAGCAGGCAAATGCCCACACGCAGGCCGGTGCCGAGAGATCCTTGCGCTCCACAGGGAGAGCTGCCGCTGGGGGTGCCCTTCGAACGTTTTAGACGCGATGCATTTGCCGAGGCATTTAAACAAGAGCCGTACCGGTGGCAGGCACCCTACTGAATAGAGTTTTTGAGACGGGGCGAGGCTTTCCTGGGTAAAACGAGACGCAATTAATTCTAGATTTGAAGTTTTCGTGACTGCAAGGATCCATAATCTTTGGTTCATTCGGTAAAGTCACGTGACTTTACCGAAAGAACCAAAGAGTAGAGACGCAATTAGTTACAGTCTGCCCTTGCTCAACGCGTGTCCACACAGTGTTTTCGCCATAACACGGTTCTTTTATTTTGGGAACACTTTTGCGCGGAGCACGCACTGTTATAACGTGGTTTCTGAGCGGTTGACGACGAACTACTTTCTTGAGCCACGGTGCTGGGCAGTATGATACAGTATGCTGAACGATACAGCACGTGGAGTGATACAGTACTCGGCGACATATCCTCGTATCAGTTCTTTGTACCGCCGTGGGATGACCGACTTTAGGCCGATTTTAAAGCGCTAATGTGATTCAGTAACTCGGTATATCGCTCGCTTAAACACGGTTTTGCTTTGCGCGCCAACTTTCAGGAACGCATCGAGCGCGTTAAAAACGAGGAATTCTTGTATTTGCTCCCGGCGATTCAAAACGGCCTTCCGGGCGGCCACGTGCGTGCCCACCGCTGGCGCCGACCTGCAGCATGAGGTGCAGGTTGGTGACCTTCTGCGCCGACCAGCCAGCGCTCTCCTCGGTCACCTCGAACCAGGGTTTCATGCGCTGCACGTAGGAGCCCTCCTTGAAGAAGTTCTGGTTGGAGTTGTTGTTCTTGAGTAGGTTCTGCAGGAGCAGGCAGTCCTCCACCACGATCCCTGCCGATCCCGCACAAACCACGGCACTCTCACAGCCGCGAAAACGCCGGTGGAGCAAGCGACAAACCGGCACTTATCGCAGCAGCGATGGACAAAGTTTTTTTTTTGTTGGAACAAAACAAGAGCTCGGTAAAGCGCGCTGCCACAGCGCGCCGCACAGCTCACTCAACCAGGCGACACAATCTACGTAGGAGAGTCCCAATGCAACTGAACCAATATAAAAGGGGGGGGGGTCAAAGGTGAGGACAAACTGAGCCAGCTGCTACAGCCAAGTGGGGACATGATATTGGGGAGAGGATGGAAATTTAAATGGAGGGGAGAGGGGGGGAAACTGGGAAGCAGGAGTATAACCAACCTAATGAGGGAAACCTGGGGAAGGAGTGGAATAGGGGAGGGGGGGAGATGGAGGGGGGGAGGAAGCGGGGGACAGAGTCATTAAGTTTCTCGACGTTGAACAAGGTCACTGCGTCGCGCGCGCCCCCCCCAATGCGTCTCGACAGGGAGGCGCATCAGAACGGCAGTGGCTGGGTGGCGGCGGCGGTTACCTCCGTCGCTGTGCCCCTCCTCGGAGACGATGTCGAGCAGCCTCTCGAAGGCGTTCTCGAAGGCCACGATCTTCTGGATCGCCGCATTCCCCTTGGTCAGCTGCTGCAGCAGGAGCAGCCCCTGCGCACCGCGATACACGGCACACGTTAGCGGCGACTCGCACGGCTCCCCACGCCACCGTGGCTCCCATGCACAGCAGCAGCGTGCTGTGTTCCCTCTGCTGCCCCCCACACAATAACAGCAGCGTGCTGTGTTCCCTCTGCTGCACCCCACACAATAACAGCAGCAGCCTGCTGTGTGTTCCCTCTGCCCCTCACACCACACCGTGCTGTGTCAACCCCCACCCCCCTGACCCCGACGCCACTCACGTCATTCGGATCACCTCCCTGGTGTCCACCAGCAGGTCCATCATGCGCGACACTCCTGCGGGGGTGGCGGGAAGGGGACAAAGGGGCCAGTGAGGGCAGCTACAACAACAGTGGGGGGGGGCCACAAGGGACGACACGGGACGCGGAGGGTCGACCGTGACGGCGTCGTCCGTCAACGGCGGCACCGCGCCGTCGGCAAACACCACCAACCCCCCCACCGCCCCGTGTTTCCGCGCGACGGCTGGCCCATGCTGCCACACGCGCCCAGCTGGGAACTCAAAGAGGCAAGAAAGAGTCTCATTTGCAAGAGTGGGTGGGCGATTGAAGGAGTGAGTTAAGCGAGGAAGGTGGTCGTGGGAGAGGATTGGGTGGGACAGAGAGCTCGAGGAAGGATGGGTTGGGTCGGGGTGAGTCGGGCTAGAACAGGTCAAGGGTAAAGATGGGTCAGGGAGGAACAGGCAGGGTGGGGATGAGGATCGGTGGAGGCTGACCTGTGGGCGTGACGAGGATGATCTGGTGCACGGCCGGTCCTCGGTTCTTCAGGAGTACCGTGAGCAGCTTCACAGCCGCCCATCGCACGTGGAACTCAAACTCCTGCGGGCGAAACACACACACATACATTAACACACACTCAATTAACGAAAAAAAGACAAAGATCCCCCGTATAGCCTGAACAGACTGTAGGGGCAAGTGCTGTTAGCGAGCACCTATGAAGGCTGGAATGGTACACGAGGGAGTGGGTGGCCAGCACCACGCCCGACCGCCTGTCTCCCCAGTGGCGATGTTTACACACCGCACCAGGTACTCATTTCAGGCTGAGTCGACCTAGGGGAGGCCCAGGACTGGTTCAGATAATCGTCACTGGTGTTGGCCGTGAGCGGGAATCGAACCCGGGACGCCGGTTCATAGCGCAGCGCACTAATCGCTACACTACCGCACCCCACCACACACGATCACACACACACGGCCTCCCGCCCAGTCGCCAGCTGAAAAGGGACGCAACTACGAACGTTGACCACATTCGACCGAGTGACATCGTCGTGCAGACATCACATGGAGTGAAATCACGTGCTGTGACATGGTGTGGTGGTGGTGCAACATCGCATCATAGCGGTACCATGGAGTGACATCACGAGAATCCAATAAATTTCGATTTAAAGCTTTCGTGACTGCAGGATTATCTCTTGGTTCTTTCGGTAAAGTCACATAGAAGGGAAATAATAAAATAATAAAAATAAACATAATAAAATAATTCTCACGACGTTTCGGCCACAACGCAAGCAGCCGTCCTCAGGTGAAGAACAAGTCTGTTGCACGCTGTCTTCCCGACAGACCTGTTCTTCACTGAGGACGGCTGCTTGCGTTGTGGCCGAAACGTCGTGAGAATAATTTTAATATGTTTTATTTTTATTATTTTATTATTTCCCTTCTACGTGACTTTACCAAAAGAACCAAGAAGAGAATCCAATAGCTGTATTATATTTTTGTTTTCCTTTCCGCGCGTCTCCGATGAGCACGGTTGGCTACTTCCGGTGCAAAAGAAGTTCAACATAACATGTACATACGGGGTGGGGGGGGGGGGAGTCAGTGCAGTGACAACTTAGAGAGCGTGCCCTCTCGTTCGTGCGCAGTGTACGTTCGACGGGGTCTGGACTCGGGATACCTCAAGGAAGGAGGAGCAGCAGCGACACGTTCTCCTGCTTCTGGATGATGACGTCGGTGAACTGGGCGCCCAGGTCCTCCTCTGGGGCCGTCTTCTGCTGCTGTTGCTGCTGCTGGTGGTGCTGTTCCTCTGCGGAGGGGGAGGTCACGTTGCGTGTTGCGGTGACAACCGCATGGGACAAGCGAATGTTATGACTTCGCACCATTAAACTATTAAACTATTTTTTATCTACCAGGTAAAGCCCACTGAGCTATAGAGCTGTTTTTGAAAAGCGAACTGGCCACAAATGATAGCTCAATACACTAAAACGCACATTAATTCTAAAGGTGGAGGGAAAACCCGGAGGAACCGGTGAAAAATCCATGTGACCACAGGGAGAGAGACATGCAAAACTCCAAATATACAGGCGGCAGGGTCGGGATCGAACCCATGACCTCCTGCATACCCGACAAGGTAGTTAACATTTCACCACCGCCGTGAGATGTTAAGCCCAGACGCGACAGACAACGCCCACACGTGCAAGGGCAGCTCTTATCTCGGAGGTGTGCACCTGGGCTCATCAGTGGTCGGGACGTGACTGTTCAACGTCCCAGTGTCAAACCTGTTCACCCTGCAAGTGGCCCACGGCAGCTGCCGTTCCCCCTCTGCGGAAACGCCGCAGTGCAGTATATAGTACCGTATCGTATAGGGTATCGCATGTAAGGCAAGCGGACGTATTTGTTTTGTAATTTATAATTTGCTTGAGTTGACCATGTGATTTTGTTATTTATTTATTTATTGTAAAGCGGCTTGATGTGCTCTGCACGAAGACGACGACATGAAAGCCGAGTGCTTTGTTTATATTGTTTATTGTATCGTTTCTATTGTTGTGTATGTAATTTTTCAATGGTTTACGTTGTTTGTATTGTAGTTGATTGTATCTTCGTTATTGTTCATAGTTGTTTTTTTATTGCTTCGATTGTTCGTGCATCGTCGTTCGATGTTTGTTTTGTTGTTTATTGTTTAATGTTTGACGACAACCTCACGATAATAATAACACGCACCTTCTCCCCTGTATTTTAAGATAAGATTTTGGGGGGAGGGCGAGTTTGTTTTAAAATCCAGTAGCTGCATGTGTGTCACAGTGTGTCACCGTGTGTGTGTGTCACTAGGTTTGTGGGGAGCGGTGGTGTAGTAGTTAGAGCACACACCGTGCTACGTACACGGGAACAGAGTTCGATTCCAGCTTGCGACGATTATCTGAACCTATCCTGGGCCTCCACTAGGTCGACTCAGCCTCAAATGAGTACCTGGTGCGGTGTGTGATCATCGTCACTCGGGAGGAAAAAGCCGATCGGGCGTGGTGCTGGCCACCCACCCCTCGTGTGCCGTGGCGGCCTTCATAGGTGCTCGCTAACAGCACTTGATCCAACAGTCCATTAAGGCTATACAGGGGGTCTTTGTCTTCGTGACTTGGTTTGTGTAACTATATTGACACCAGGCATCAGTGTGGGGTGCGTCTCACTGTCTGGATGTCTGGAGCCTCTTATAACTTGCAAAGTAATATTTTTACAATAATAACGTAACGTTTTATTCTTACAGAGTGCCATTCGTGCACACTGCAGGAACAAAGCATTTGACGAACAAACTCGTGACGCGCGCAGCCATCGCACGGAGGCGTGCGCGGGAAAACCGCAGCCACAACTGGCGCTGCCAAAAAAAATTCCCTAAGCTCTGTGATCCTACATCAAGACGTTTGGCCGACTCCACTTTCTAACGAGCGTCTATAACCTCCGTTGCAACTACCAGATAAGAGCCGACCTGCACGTTGGGTCGCACCGCCTCTCGTACCCGGCACCCTCACAACCGCCCAGCGGCGACAAGCGGTGATTCGCGCATGGCATGCAGACCACTGCACCACACGCAATCCCCCGGCAGCACTCGAGTCACAACACCACCACCCAACAAAGCCCCCCACACCAACCTCTTCCTCCGATGCATTTCGATGACAAAATATACGTAAAATTTTAGGCAGGATTGTGACAACAATGCCCGTTACCTTTGCCGATTACGTTTAAAATGCAAGGTCAAGGTGCAGCCCTGCTATTGCTTGCTCACGCAAAAGGGGTTCTAGATAGCCATTCCAGAAGGGACTTTGGCCTACTCTTCCACCCTGGCCAGTAACCTACTCATTGACCTGCTGCGGTGTGCCCATGCATGCCACTGGGTGGACAGAGGCGGATACGATTTAAGAAACTTGCCCCTGTTGTTTTGACCGCCGCGCTGGTGGGAATCAAATCGGCGACCAATGTGAAAAGCCATTACACCAGAGCAGCACCACCACGTGTGCGGTGTTATTACGTCGTGGGCAGCAGCGCCGTTCTACGTGCTAGAGTGAATCTTATCCCAAAACGAAGCCATCAGAGAGGTTAAACAGAGCGGTGAATCCATCCGTTAATATCCGCGTGTGCGCAGTCGATAAAGAGTTAGAGGCATTCCCAAGTATCGCGGGGGAACGCAGCAACACCACGTGTGTTAGTGCGGCATGCAGGCAAGCCTCCTCCCACAAGCGGGCGTGACGTCGCGTCGTTTACCTTCTGCGTCCTCTGACGTCCGGCGAACGCAAGGGGGACACAGAGAAGAGAGCGTGAACGGAACACACGAGCCACCGTCAGCCGGCTTCGCACGCCGCTCCCCGCAACTCAACGACGACGGCAGCAGCGGCAGCAGTAACGGTGAAAGGGCATGGGGACAGCGGCGCTGTGAACGCGAATTACCTTCTTCCTCGCCCACGTCGTTCGAGACGATGTTGCACAGCGTGTCCAACGCGAAGGCCGTGATCTCCGCGTCGGACCTGAGTGACGAGAGACGCGTGGTTAGTAAGAGAGACCATGGCCAGCGGCGTCTGTAAGGTCATCGTCAAAAACCAGACTTTGCAAAATGATATCCCGTTAACCATTAAGCGTATTGGGAACCAGTTCCTAAAATCAGGAACCGGTCACCGTTTTAAAGTGGAATGCGAGTAACGAGAGCACCGATTGCTCGTGCGAAAGTACAAACGGCACAGTGGCCCAAGACATCACGTGGTTCATTTGCCCTCGCCTCTCAGTTCGATAGGTGAAGGTGAAACCCTGCACTGGGGATGTTTTACTCTAGGCCATGTGGGCACCTAATCCAGCCCAGCTTCCCATGGCCACGTCTCATCGATCCCTCCCCGCCCTCTCATTCACAACCCTTGTGTTAAATCCCTGCACCGGAGGTCACAGCAACACACTCACCCACCAACACACTCATTCACTCCCTCACCCACTCACCCACCAATTAATTCAGTTCCCCACTCAATCAGTTGCTCACCCATCTATTCCCTTGTCCACTCACCACGCTGCAGGTCACCTCACTTCTCCTTCTGATTCTTCCCTCGCCCTGCTCCACTTTGGAATTCTCTCCAGACCGTCTCTTTTCCAGAGCTCTTAGAAAATAATCTTGCCCAAATCAAGGAACATGTCAAATCTAATCTTCTGTAAGAATTCTACAGTGCCGTTTGTTGCTGGCCGCTGTGCTCAGTAACTGTGGAAAGTAAAAAAAAAACAATCCACTCGTGTGTTTGGATGAGGATGTGCAGCTGGCGTGAGTGATAGACACGTGGAAAGACAGGAGTGGAGTGTCCGGGCACTGGGCTGGAACCTCGCATAGGAAACGTACGTCCCTATCTTTGCATCTGTGATGCAAATGCACGTGTGCAGCTGTGCAGCCAGGATCCTGGTGAGCAGAGCAGCGACACACAGGGGTGTGTGCGTACCGGTCAGTCTGCAGGACGTGCAGAAGGTGTTCCATGCCTTGCGTGCCGACCTCCATGCGGTACTTCTACAATGAGCAAAACCGTTAAGCTCAGGGATTAAACAATATCAAATGTCCCCCATATAGCCTTAGCAGTTGGGAAAATGCTGTTCGCGAGTGCCTATTCAGGCAGGCATGGCACACGAGAGGGTGGGTGGCTAGCACCACGCCGGCCGCCTTTGTATCCCAGTGCTGATATTTACACACAGCACCAGGCACTCATTTAAGGTTGAATCAAACAAGAGGAAGCCCAGAACAGATATTCGTCACTTTATTTGTCGTGAGTGGGAGAGCAGAGGCACACACGTACACACAAGGCCAGCGTGATGTCGGCTGCAGTCTGGGACACTAATTAAGCCCATCTCTTTTTACAGAGCTTATAATAGCAAACATCCCGGCGAGCATACATGATGTCAACAATCAGGCTTAAAAGCACGCTTGGGAGAGACATTGCGTTTCTAGATGCACGGCACATAGCGCAACGTGGTCGTCGATTTTAAACGCTGCTGGGAAGGACACAAAGAGTACAAAGGATGATGGTGATATCTAATTGAACACAACCGGCTCATTAGTTCTGCTACGAATCAGCTGAGAACGGCAAGCCTAATGCAAGGCAACACTCGGGGGTCTTCACGGGGAACTCATCTCATGCAGCTCATTACCCCCTATAACCCCCAACCACGATGATCGGGAAGCTGGCTTCTCCTGGTGGTCTCTGTTGAGCCATGTGGCTCCCGCCGCGGGACAAAGCATGTGTCAAATTAGCGCCGACATTGCTGCAAAATAACGGACGGCACAAATTGGGGCACGTCTTTCTTCGTCTGATTTTAAGTTAAGGCTGTTTGTCAGACCATGGCTCTTTGGTAAGGCATATTAAAAATGACCGCAGCATGACACGCGTTTAAGTGTGCTATGGTGACATGCGATGCCCTCTATTGTGAGGATTGAGAAGTAGCAAGCGTGGTAAATTACTGAATGCTGCATATGATTGCCGTAATGTCTAGATTATGAGACACAATTTCTCCACCTGTAGTATAAAGGAAGAGTTGAGGATGCATATTATAATCCGGTAGGCGTGTGAGTGTTACTGGGTGTGTGGACAGATTCGTATCAACTATTGATACTGGCACTAAGTGTGGGATGTGCCTTACTTTCCAGAGCATCTTATGATCCTGAAGATATGGTAATAGTTTCATGTCATCCATTCCAGCTACTAAATTAAGGTTATTATAAAGGCACCTTGGGGCGAATATTCCACATATGATACAATATGTGACTGATTACTATTAGCATTGCCGTGATGCATTCAGTATATACTTTGTAAGTGTGTGTGGATACAATACACATGGAAATTAATCCCATGTGCTTGTTCAATGGAGGAGTGCTCTCCTAACCTTGGAGAGCGATTTGAGAGCCCTCACGGCACCCCTCCGGTCCTCGATCAGTGTGGAGGACGCGACACGGTCACATAACTTCTGCACCTGCTCCCCGCACACACGCAGACACACACAGGGCTCAGCACCAACAGGTCCCTCACCTGGGTCACCTTGATCCACCTTGCCTGAATCTGGGGTTATCATTAGCGTCAGTGTGGTTCATTTGTGTTACATATTATTTGGTTGTTTTTATTCAACCTAGGACCCATATCTAACAGAGGTCTCTGCGTATATACTCATCTGGCAGTTCACCAGTTTGATTCATGGCCCGACTCAGTGCATGAGACACTGAATATCAAAAACAGGCCAGAGTTTGGCTTGTGTTGAACCAATGCAGCTGAATGTGTGCACCATCACAAAACAATGCGGCTGATAGGATGAGCAAGACATATTTACATTTTTGATGTGGAGGGACAGATATGCTGGGTGAAGCATATTGTCTGCTTACTCTATTTTATTTATTCACCAAAGGTATCTGCACTGTTGCTCAGCCTGCCTTCACATCTCCAGTCCGCAAATCTGCTGCGTTTTTTTTTACCATGCAGGATTGCGTCATTTGCCAAATAGAAGTGATAAGTCTGGACTACAGCCCTTGTACTTTGTCCCTGCAGTTGAGATCACATTTTTGTTAATCAAACAACAACATTCACGTCGTGTTTTCTTTGCCGCAAATAAGATGCACAAATACTGCTCGGAACGCGAAACGTATTTATTATAATCGGTCTAGCACGGCCGCCGATACTGTGTGAATGGCAGCTATTTACCAAGAACCCAAACTAGAACAGACTGCGTGGTGCATCACAGGAATGCGACAGACACAGCGGGTCTCTCGCAAATGAGAAAGAAACACAGCATTAATGCCGCGCAACCTGACCGAAATATACAACTGTCAATATCTCTCGGCACAGAAACGTCCACTCGGTAACACTTGTAGAAATATCAATGCGGCTCGCACAGCACGTCGATTTCACGAAGCCCTTCCCCGTGTGTGGCGAGGCTAGAGTCGCCCTCCTATGGTGAACGCCACCTTCTACATTGCAAGTCCAGTGCACTAACCATTACACCTTCGGTAGTATCCTTCCATTCAAAGTTGAGAAGGTCAACACGTGTTATGTTTATTGTTCTAGACATTTCTAAAGTGCGGCAAACCGCTAAGTTTTTTTTCAAGCGGTTACTGGTAACGAAAAAAAACCTAAATTTAACAATCCTACTTCGAAGGACCTCCAGACTCTGCAGTTGTATGATGTTTTGATCATGAGAAATCACTTGGCTTAACATAGCAGTATACAGTGCTATATTCAAATACAAGGTACTGTACTCGTTCCGACCTTTCTCCGTTGGCAGAAATGTCAGGGATGTGTTCTGTTGTGGTCGTGTTAATGACGAATGTGCTGATGTTACGTGTTACATTGTGGCTACCATGCTTGCATCTGTTTAATATATAAATACAAAACAGCATTTTGTGAATCCACTGTTGTCCGCTATGGGAGTTGCTCGACCATACTTCACCAGTTTGGTACGTGCGGGCTGGTAAATGTTGCCGGGGGAGGGGGGGGTAGATGTTGGGAGTATGACCGGTTCAGACCATCGCTCGCCATCGATTTAAGCCACGGCATGGACTCTAAACTCGGGTCAGCGGGTTCATAGCACAGTGCACTAACCACTGGGCCACGATTCCACCGTGCATCTGCTAAGAGGCGGTATTCACGGCGCGTGGCCATAAGAACTGTATGCAAGGCGAGGCTTTGTGTCTCTCGTGCATATGCATCGTCGATGCGCGTGAGAAAGAACCCGATTACAATCGGACACTGACGCGGAACGGCAGCCAGACGAGGAAGGATTAAGTTGTCGCGGGCGCTCCGAGTTAACTCTGAACGCGTCCGCACGAATGACGTGTCACAAACTCCGGGGCGCCACATAAGCGCTCAGGGTCCAGGGACCAGTGCAGGAGGGGGGGATGCAGTCCAACCAGTGTTAGGGGAAAGCTGGAAAGAATTCCTTTGGAGGAGACGAAGGAAAATGGGGATACCAAGAGTTGGAATACCAAGGAAGGGTTTTGAAACCAATCGGGACCCAGAGAGTAGGAGGTGCAACCAAGAACATGTAGATTAAGGGAAATCCACGGAATGTCAGACGTGGGACGTGGGAGTCCAACCAAGGGAAGCGAGACGAGGAAAAGTGCCGTCAAGTTTAACGAGGACCTGGGAGGCGAGTTCAACCAGGGCGAGGACGACCAGGAAGGGGAATGCAATGAAGGAGAAGACGCAGGCGAGACCAAGGGGAAACATCGACTAGGAAAAGGGAAAACAGGGTAAGAGAGCCCCAGAGAGGGGAATGCAGCGAAGGCGAGCCAGGACAGCAGAGCTCTGTGCGTCGTGAGCCAGGGGAGAGGGGACCCCGGGCCACGGGGACCTCGAGAAGTGGCCGGGGCGCGGCTCCCTACGACAGGGGTCTGACACGTCAACATCCGAGGCCGCGGCCTTCACTCGAGCAGCGGCCTCTCCTGCTCATTCCGCGGGTTCGGCGCGCCCCGCGCGGGCAGAGGCCGCTAGCACCACACGGCCTCGCCCCGTCCCACCCTCCCACCCCGTGTGAGCCCGTTGCGCGCGGCCGTCTCTCACCGTCTCGGCGCCCGTGGGCTGCGGCCCAGCGGCCTGTCCGCCCATGACACCGCGGAGGAAATTCATGGCGACGCGGGGAGGGGGGACGAGGGAGATGCGGCGAGCGGCACGGCGGAACGCGCGGCCTTCCTACTCCCTGCAGGCCGCGTGACGTCACTCACTGGAGTAGTGGGCGGGGTGGGCGTGACGTCGTTAGGCGACGCCTACTCGTGTGACGTCACAAAGAGGCGTGGCTTCATTTTCAGGTGAAGGGGGGGTGACGTTGTACATGATAATCCGTGTGACGTCACGAGAAATTAGGGAGGGGCGTGTTATCCCAAAGGGGGGTGTGGGCAGTTGCATGACGTCATGTAGAGGCGGTACTTAACATCGGACTCGGGGAGGGTGGGGGTGTGGCGGCGGTGACGTCACGAGAGGGCGTGTCGTGACGTTCTACGACAGGAAGGCGGTGACGTCACGTGTCTCTGGCCGCCATTGCCGCGGTAGGGGAGAAGAAGAGGCGAGAGAGACCCGCTGAGCTGCTCAGTCGAGAGGAGGAGGAGGAACCGGCGCCCGCTCGTACGCGAACCACGCCGCGCGGCGAAAATCGACCATGGAGGAAAGTCCTCGGTGAAGGAACTGGATCAGTGGATCGAGCAGTTGTCCGAGTGCAAGCAGCTGTCCGAGGGCCAAGTGAAGACGCTATGCGAGAAGGTGGGTGACCGGGCAGGCAGGCGGGCGGGATGGGCGAGGCCTCGGGCCGCAAGGCAAAGCGCGCGGGAGGTGTTCGTGAGAACGCGGGAACCACAGCTCGCATCGTCTCCCCCCCCCATTTACCCCGTGTCTCTCTTCCTCCATCCCTCTACCGGTTCCCGCACCCTGTGGTGGGTTTGTGGTGGGGTGTAGAGGCGGCGCCATAACGGGGTAAGGCGGGAGACTGGCTAGGGGAGGCTCCGGTAGCCCCGGCTCGCTCCGTGTCGGGCGCTCCCATTGGGCAGGAGGCCGCGGGGTGGGGTGGGGACCTGCCGAGTTTGTTCCGTGCCGCCTTTCTCCATTTGCCGAGAGGCGCGACGGGTCTCCCCTGTCGGGCGCTGCCATTGGGCAGAGGCCCGCGAGGCCGCGGCGCTCCGCGTACCCCCCCAATTTTCCTAGTTCGGCGGCGGCTTTCAGTGTCGCCGCTCGCTCTCTTGAGACCGGCTCCCTCAACCCCCGCCCCCCATTCAGTACCTTGGGGACTTGCGGAGAGCAGTATAGGGGTGGCTCGAAATAACGTGGGCGGATATTATACCGTGCCCCGCATACAATGGTTTTATTTTTTTATTAATGTGTGGACTTGTACATTAACGTACGGATTGGATGCGATTGTACATCAAATGGCACTCGCGAAACTCAAAAATGGAAGGTGCTATTGTGGTGAACAAAACACATAATGGGTGACGCGTTCATGCATCAAGGACCCTGGATTACAACCATGACGGACCATTTGCTCGAAACGTTGCCAATGCAGGCCGATGTTATTGATGTATATTTCTGGGCGGGCGGACCGAAACGAAAGGAACAAAGAGACGGGGGTGTGAGCCTGGACTTGAACAGTAAGGGGCCATCGATTTAGTACGTACGCAAAAATGTCAACTTGACCTCCCCTCGCCCTGTACGAACGCGTACTTTTTACACCCCGCCGGACGATTTAGCTAATTTGAAGGCCAATATAGACAAATTATTATCGAGGCTTCACCCCCCCCCTTCCCGTTTACTATGCGTACATTGTCAGTAGACCCCCCCCCCCCATACACAAGCGTACTCATTTGGGTTAACCCTCCCCCTCCATGCGTACATTCTAAATGGATGCCCCCCCCCCCTAACGCATTGCGATGGGGAGAGAGGGGGTGAGGGATTGGGAGTTCTCGATCAGGGGTCTGCAACCTGCGGCTCTTCACGACCGCTTCGTTGCGTTATTTTCTTCAGGGTCCTCTCGTGTTCACATGCATTGCGGCTCTTAAAATATCGAGTTGTTTAACGGAATCGGAAAAAAAATAATGGCTCATGTTATTATGGTTGGCCGACCCCTGTTCCTCCACCTTGTGTGCAAATGTTGACTTGCGGGGCTTTGAACAGATACGCTCCATAAAGATACTATTTTTTTACTTGTATTAATTTGAATGTTTTACCTACGTGACTTTACCGAAAAAATCTAAGAATATACTATTTTTTTATTTCAAGCCTTCGTGACTGCAGGGATTCATATTCTTGGTTCTTTCGGTGAAGTCACGTAGAAGGAAAATAATAAAATAATAAAAATATTAACAAAATATAAAAACAATACAAATTCTCACGACGTTTCGACTGCAACACAAGCAATCGTCATCAGGTGTGAAATCTTGATGTGGATTTCACACCTGATGATGATTGTGTTGCAGTCGAAACGTCGTGAGAATTTGTATATTTTCATTATTTTATTATTTCCCTTCTACGTGACTTTACCGATAGAATCAAGAATAACAATACTATTGTTACTAAATGGGCCTTGTTGCTAGTATCAAAATATGAAAAAGCAGAATAGGTTTCGCCTTTTAATGCCTTGGTACTGGATAAAGATCTCATTTTGTAGCTGCTCACCCCGAAACAAAATGTGCTCTGATTGTGCATTGTCTTTGTGCTGTTCGCCTTTTGGCGTGCTCTGGTATGACGCTCATGAGACTCGGCCCTAAAGAAGACTGCTGTCTCTAGGTGTAGACCAATCAGTTCCAAAGACAATGCAACATATATTATCAGAGAATGTTTGTTTGCATGTTCACCACAAATCCCGTGTGTGGTTAATGCAGACGATTCCTTGCAAAAGATTTCTATCTTAACGCCTCCTGTTTTACTGCCAGAAAGGGTAAAACCTGTTCTTAGTTTTCATACCTTGTGTTGCCTCCGAAACGTCGTGATTTTTATGTTATTTTTATTTTACTTTTATTAATTTTAATTTTTTACCTACGTGACTTTACCGAAAAAAACCTAAGAATATGAATCCTTGCATTCACGAAAGCTTCAAATCTAGAATTTCATACCTTTGTTACTGTGTACAGCATTATAAACGAAGGCATATCACCCCCAAATACTCGGGATCCACTGAATCACAATCCCAGCCAGCCCCCCACATTGCTGTCTGCTGAAATCGACAATGGCCTCTCAAAACTCTCCGTGAATATCTGCATAGCCGGAAGTCGCTGGTTTTCTACTTGCCCAGGAGCCTGGATTTCCTTCCCCAACCCCCATCCACCATGGTCAACCTTCTGATTTCACTCACCAAACGTGTTCCACGGGATTCTGTGCTCAGTCCTATTCTCATTCAATAAAACAAATTCTGCTTGTGTTTTCGATTGTCCTTCCAACGCACCTCCGATTAGCACGGTTGGCTGAGTACGGTGCGAAAGACGTTCAACATACAATATCATAGCATCAACTATAGCTCATTCTGAAGTTCAACTTTATGCCGATGACATGATTATACGCCAGCCATCTACATTCATGTACAACTAAAACAAGACGATTTCACAACCATCCAAAAAATGTTATCGCTTTAATGTCACCTGAGTGAAAACAAGACCAAGCGTGTTCCTTTTATGAGCCCCCTGGTCTAAGAAAGCTCCGAGCCAATGAAAATTGCCCATGACCACTCTGTCGCACAGCACTTGAACATCTTTCCTTCTACAACTAGTATCTTGGCATCTGGCTCGATTCTCATCTCATCTTCAATCTTCGTCAAGAGTATTTAAGAAAGTCATTAAAAATTACTATTGGAAATTTGTAGAGAAACGAAATATCTTTCGCTAAAACATTAGATAGATGCTACCTCTGTACATGTCATAGACTCTGCTGGTGACATGCAAATCAAGCAATAACACCATTGGATTAGCCAAACCTTATCTCATTCTGCCAAACTCTTTATCTTACAAACTACGGTATTCCACTCATGTATTTTTATTCTAAGACCATTTATCATGCTCTTTCAATTGGCAAGGGAGATTCATTGGGTGCAAGATTATTTTCATGCATACAAGCATAACGCAACCCCTTACAAAATCCCAAGCGTTTATTCATTACCAAAACCCTCGAACGTAGAAGCCCACAACACCGTGTCCACTGTACCAAGGACAGAAGGAATCTCTCATGGGTTTCACTCTCTTTTTGTTTATGCCCCAAGCTCGTGGTGTTCCGTCACTTCAAGAATGTCCTTGGCTACTATCCCATTATGAATAACAACGCGATGCTAAACTTTCGATTCTTTGATAACTTCAATTGACTTTGACATATCCTTGTCGACTTGTATATGTTTCTGTAACAATTCAAATTGTGCCATGATCGGACTAAAAAGATCTGCCCGAGCCAACTTGTGCTACAGATAATGTATTAATTAAAACTGGGTTGTTTATTAAATATTTATAATTTCTCATGCGACACAATTGGTGTCGCATGAGAAATTATACCTTTTTTTTAGTAAGTAAATTGTATTTGTTTGGTCACCCTGGTCGCTCTTGCAACTAAGACTTTAACTGATCTCGATTTCTCACTTGGATAAACAAAATTGACTTAGTTACTGTGTTGTACAGCATTGATAATCTGCACAGCATTGTTTGCAGAGGTTTGTTCGCAGATTGTTCGTGTTGTACAGGCCGCCCTGGTTACACCCTGGGTGTGATAACCATAACATATGTACTGTTTGCTTAACCATAGATGTTAAAGATCCTGTAGCATCATTCATGAAAGAGTAGGCCAGTGTATGCTGGCGTCTTGGTCAAATAAAAAACTGAAATCGCTTAATTGGGAAACACCCAGCAATTAGAATATGTATTTATTCTGGAGGAATCCGATGAGTTATAAAGCTCTTCACAGATGTCCAGTGTGGCGGGTAAGAACGTTACAACAAACAATACAAAAACATAGTAGTGCAAATTACAAGAAAGGTAAACGAATCACCAGACGCTGTCTTCCCGACAGACCTGTTCTTCACCTGAGGACGGCTGCTTGCGTTGTGGCCGAAACGTCGTGAGAATTATTTTATCATGTTTTATTTATTCTTTTATTATTTCCATTCTACGTGACTTTACCGAAAGAACCAAGAAGATGAATCCCTGCAGTCACGAAAGCTTTAAATCGAAATTTAACCACCAAAAACACA